CACCGAGGCACCCCATAGGCGTAGGAATGCAGCCGATTCATGCGTCGCACGAGTGATTAATAGAAAACCTGTATGACAAGCCGCGAGACGGGATACGCAACTTACCACGCTTTTTGAAATATCCCTCTTATCATTGTTAGTAACGTACCTAATTGCTACAGAAGAATCATGTAGAATCAATGGTAGAAGTCTACATATAAGCATGAAAAAATATTCTGCTTTAATCAAACCGCAGTGAATGCAAAATTAGAACTCTTAGTTTGAGTCCAAAGTGGTAGTTCTATTCTCATTCATTTATAGGGCGATCAATACATGGGATATTTTTGCATGCCCTTTTTACATGTTTTCGACAAAAAGTTGTTTGAAAAAGAAGACTTGCTTTTTGACTTCTACTTGCAGCAACTTCCATTCATAACTACAGTTTTTGAAGAAGAATATTCATCACTAACACCGATCATATTTATTAGCTTGAAATTCATGCTAGAAATTATAATAACTAAATAAATCGTTTCAAATTCAAAACGAATCAATTCGTGGCGCTTTGAACCGTAAGGTTCAGCCATAAGATGGGCATCAGAGGTCAAGTTAAAGAAAGCGTCAAATAAAAGAATTATTATCTTCAAATTGTTCCGGATATCCAGTATGAAAAGGTTTAATTTGATACTTATTACGACATCATGACTTTTCTAAAATAAAATCTAGGAAATCACCCCAGTCGTAAGAAGATTAACTCGTAACTACTTAAGCCTTATGTCTCTTTTTCTCCCATAATAAAGGGTCGTTTTTGGGTTGTGGAGGGCAGCGTTATGTAAAATAGTGACCAGCTAAATCTGGTTGAGCCTCAAAGCCGACCTTAACCTTTTTCCTAAAGAATCTAAGGCATGTTTTTTTCAGAAAACTGTTCTGTAATCATTCTACGTACCTACCTACCATTTAATGCGTATTTAATTAAGTACAGCGCTAATACAATCAATGCATAATAAGATCGTTTATAAACTAATCAAACGCTTGACAAAGGCGCCAGAGATAATAATAATTAAGATGGTGAACGATTTGTTATTATATAATGATGGCTTTAAATGACAGAGGTACACCGTGTTGTATTGATCAGAGGACATCAGTGATTCAGTATTCATCAAACAATAAGTCAGTGCACAACTAGTTCTTTTGATTTTGGAGGCGATAACTAATCACAGTTTTATGCGGTTTTTTTTGCAAGTGGATACGATTTCAGAAGGTGTTAGTTAGTTCGCGATTGTTTTACCAAAATCGTACTAAACCCTCTAAAAAACGTATTAGATATTGCCGAAGATTTGAGTACCGCGGCTTAAGCTACGGACGCAAAGCTAACGAAAGCAGTAAAAAACAAAGAGGCTGCAAGTGTAGTGCAGCAACCTAGTCCTATAGTATCTACTATAGGTAGTTAACACTTGCACACTCACATTCATCTGAATGTGATGAGTACCAACACTAACTAGCTCAACAGAAGTTGATTCAATAAATTCGAAAAATTAGGACACACGTAAATATTGATACAAGTTCGACAAAGCAATAAATTAATCTATCAGCAGATACTTTTCTTCAATACGGCTATTTAATTAAAACTTTGTAAGTGCTAATAAAAATCCGATTCAATCAACTCATGCGCACAATTTACGATGTCAGTTACTTGGTGAAAGTAATCGATAAGATCTACAAAGTAATATGCATGTGTTGTGCTATGGAATGATAGGGTACTGGTTTAACTATCAACGACTTTTAATGCAACATAAAATTCATTATTTACGGGATTCATTTCTCTTTAGAACTAAATACAAGGATGGCATTTAGTGATCAAGGATTTATTCTTGCGAATCACTAAAATGAAATCAACAAAGACTTGTTTAAAATGGATGAAGTGTTCTTACAAGGTGCATTGAAACCATAAAAATTTCGAAACATTTGATAAAATCAGAATATCAAGGCTGCCGATCTGAATAAAAACGTATTTTTATATTCAAATAAATGATAATCAACGCCTATCAGCTACACGGTCTGGCACCCATCACCCCAATGAGTTAATGACACGTTGATTGCTCCTCCCAAGGCCTTGCAGTGACCCTATTTCAAAACGACCAGCTCCAGTGACTCACTCGCTGTCATTTACTTGTTAAAAACTCGCCCGAATGACCTTGCCGTAATGAAGAGTTCCTGTTTTTATTCGAAGCAGAAGGAATCGCAAACCTTTGTTTACTCTTGTTCATTTAAGTTGAGTTATCCAAAGTCGGATTGATAAACGAAATTGTTGAGGTCATCGGGGTCAGTTCCCTTACAGCTTGAATATTTACGAGCTGTGTGGGTCGATTTCTGACGACCCTTTTGTTATTTGATCGTTTTCGTAAGAATAGAAGGATATATTTGTTTATTGTTTCACGTTTCTGGAGGAGTTAATGTTTAAATTGCTATTTAGTTATTTACCTGAAACCCGCAAAATAAGGACCTATGATATTATGAAAACTATGAGGATTTTCACAAACCCTTTACCTTATAATGATTCCAGTATTCGTTACTCAACCGTATTTTCCATTACTAAATAACTATTTTTGTACATTCAAATTGAAGTCCTAGAACGATGCCAGACGTATGTGATTCATATAGGTAGGTACTTCATTCATTACAGAAGGCGTGTGCGTGTAGCACATGGAACTAATTCGGCGTTACAATTATGACTAATATGCGCTTGTAGAATGACATACCCTGGAAGGTCACAGTTGTACAAACTGTACCTACGACAAGAAACCATACATGTACCTAGGTATTTGAAAATTTCTGCATACCAATAACTAGCTTTAGCCGAGTCTGCCTATAGTTAGTGCATTATTATGTCTGTGTTACGGCTTATTCACGAAACTGTTTGAGTAAAAACGAGGTAACTCGAGTAATTTCCAGCCACACTTAAGATTCAAAGCTATAAGGAACACTGCGCGACAAAAGGCTGAATATGAATATATCTCACGCGAGTTATAGTACAAAAGTTGAAGTGCATTTTTCGATATGTAATAATAATAATACAATTGACGTACAAACTACAAGCTTTTGTAGTTAGATACACGCGGTGGGCACAATATCCTCATGTTGATAGCACAGAAATAGCCAGCCATCAATGGGGCTCTGTGCGCGATAACCGCGCTTGCGCAGCCCCCGTCCGAAGCATCAATGTACACACGTAATGTGTGTGAGAGTATCATGTTGTTTAATGGATATAATTATCAATTAAAAGAACCTCATCTAGTTTCACAAAATATCTCTAAAATCTTACGAAGAGGTAACACAGAGCTACATATTTATGTATTAGTTACACACACCGTAATATAACCATATGTACATTTCGTTAAGACTAAAAATTACATACTATAAATAACAGGAACATTTCCCTATTTTGTATTTTAGTAAGAATACCAAAACTTAAAAATATTTATAGATACCAGCGACTTTAACCACAATTTGTGTTGCACTGAATTCCTTTTTCATTACATAGGCGGCAGGCGGTTCTGTTTTGGCTATCTGCAATTCTTATCTTTTGTAACAGGAAATGGTGTTTTCGAAGGTCATAACATTGAACTCATAATAAAAAACATAACACACAGTTGTACAATATTTATAAACTTAGTAACACTAATTAAAATGCAGTGAGTGCTTATCTGTTCCATACGAGTGTAATTAAAAATAATTGCAACTGCATTTGTTGTTTTAAATTAATATTTGTGAATCAAATTATTTTTTTTAATGACATGAATATGTACTTTTTATAATTTGAAGCTAGAAAATGGAACATATAAACTGTCAAACACCAAGTGGTCACCGGTGACCGCAACCTATTGTTCTTTAATTGTGTCTATAATGACGGTACTCACTAATTAATGGAGTTAATTATGAAGTGTAACACATTCTACCAGTTATACCCTAACTCCCATGTAATAGGGGGTGAGCTGATTGAATGATTGAGACTCTAGTTGGACATTTTTACCGATTACATTTCTTGTTTTTAATTGGTAAATAATATGTAGCTCATATCTTTACATTATCAAAGAATTAAAAATAGAAACTACCTCAATTGGTACAAGTTTTAATTAAACTTAGTAAGTACCTAGTTTATTAAGCAACTATTTATAGCCATTAATCGAAATTGGGTAATAAAAGATGACAATCATGGCTTGTCTATCGCTTAATTTATTACCGCCAATCAAAGTGTAACTTGTTCCATACATCTCTAATTTAAAAGTAACTGGATCAATTTTATTTTAGTACTAGATTTTATTAGAGTATAATTTCTAATTTGAATTTTAATAGTTCAGTAATAAGATCAATTTTATGACACAAGACAGTAAATCAAAGTTTTAGTGACTTTAGTTTATCTTTACTGATAATATCGCAAATGTGTCAATAGTTGTAGTACTAGTTGTTTCAAGTACCAGGAAATAACAAATCAACAAATAATAAATAAAACCAAGAAACATGACAAATGCATGATAAAACAGGATATGAAACATTTCATTTTGTCTTATCACAATGTTACTTGTGTCAGGAACTTTCAAGATAGAAATGGGTGATGTTTTGAAATAGGAATGATAACGGAGTCAACAGACAATACTATTGTGTACTAAAAACTTTTTGAAGAGCAACTTTATCATAGTTATAGTAGAATATTTTTATCTGTGGTATGCTGGAAGTTATTTTTTTACGTAATTTATGATAGATAACTTTTTTTTTAAATGTTAATTATTGATATTGACTTGAAATATTTTAAAGTCATTCATAATTTCTTCTATTCATTTTTAATTTTTTAATTATTATGCTGATAGGACATACTCTTTATTCTTCAATCAAAACTTTACAAATGTGAAGAAAGAGGAATAGAGATAAAAAAAGAAGTGAAGCAATTTTAGATGACTGCATAACTTTATAATTCTTCTAATTGGACAAACTTCATTGAACATACTTACAATTTAATATACAACATTTCACTGAATATCAATGAATAAAGTTTATACATATTTATATATACCTACTTACTATAGCCACATTATAAAACAGATACATTAATGTGAATGATGTATTAGTTTAGTGTCTGTTCTAACAATTAAATATAGGTGCCATAGTCATAAGCAGGCTTCATAGCTATATTATCAAAGCTCCAGGAAAATACAACAAAGACAGGAAACTGTACAGTTCACACTGACAGACTGCCCACTTTTACGATTTATAACTTTAACTACTACTGAGAATCACACGCAAATGTTTGCAACTGTACCCTTCCAAAGTAAAATCGTTACATTCACAAAAACAAATAAGAATCCGTTTGAAATTTACAAACTAGGTACACCAGACCCACCCTTGCCCCACATGTGACTATTATTATTAGTAACACCGCTCATTCCCTCCGAACTATAACATCGTTAAATGCTTATTTACTAGCGACGAATATTTACTACTTTTAGAACTTTGTTTACAACTAATTGTTTAAATATTGACGCGAGTGCCGCAGTCGCATAATAAAAGTAACGTCTGCCGTTCACACGGTAAACAATGTTATGTTTGTAAACATAATGCCGGCAAAATTCGGTGCCAACACTTACCAAAACTTTGACGAAACGGTTTTCCAACTCATCCCGGTCCGGCATCGGAGGCTTCGTCCGGTTCCTAGTCGAAGGCTGCCGTACATGGTGGCTCTTCGCCGACGCCACCGGACCGTCCAACATTGTCTGCTCCCTTGAAGTAATCAAACCCATTTTACACTGAACACAAACACTTAACGCGCACCACTTATAACATTTTTAAACAGCATCATGTCATTTTTATCACAGACAAAAGCACAAAACACGATGAGTAATAAATCAACAGGTCACATCACACGGTCGCGGCGAGGCGCAAAACTAGTTCGTCGGCAACTGCAGGCAACAACAAAGCAAACTCGAGCGAAGGGCGAAGGCCGAGCCAAACGTATGAAGTATGAACTGTCAGTAACGTGAAGTTAGCAAGAAGCGACTGATAAGCACGTCCAATCAGAAAGTTTCTACGTTCTGAAACTACACATCTAAACGTCGACAATGAGATTTTTCACCCATTATGTTTGAGTAGTACAATTTATATTAAACTACCTATATTCAAACATTGTATAATTAATTTTCTCGTACAAAGAATTTAATACGTAAATCAAAAATAATATTTTCTATGCTTTATTGTTTTGCAGAAACAATAAAGCATAGAAAATATTATATTATAATTTCACTTTTGTAATTTCTAGGTGTTCTTAATGCTGTCAAAAAACAGCTGACGTATTTGTTTTTTAATTACATCGGTAATTTTCAAGTACTAAGCTTTTGGCTACACGACTTTACCTGACCCGACTTAACATCATTTAAAACATTTCATCCAATTTCATGTATCATTATTTCATTATTATTGACACTTCTGTATAATGACATACGATGGCGGACATAATGCCGGGTGGCATTCTCTAACAGCCAACCATGGGGTGATGCAGAGATGTGCAACAGTAGGTGTGTAGATATAATGGTATATGTGACAGAAAAATCTATATACATAAAGGAGAATGGCAGGTTTGTATGGAAGTTTTGTACCGCTATAAAATTTTGTATTAGTCATTGTTTTAACCAAGTGAATAGTCTGAACGATAGATATTTTTATTATGAAGTTTAGAAAAAAATTACATATTTTTAGAACTTGGGGTTCAAAAGTTATTTCACTTTGAAAATGTGCAAAAGGTACGTTAAGGTGGTACCACACTTGACATTGCGTAGTCGCTTCATTTGTCCAAATATTTGTAGACTTCGTACAAATGGCGTCCAAATAGTATCTCTATATGTAATGGCGTGCAAATATATAGCAAACAAAGAAGAATAAATCCTCCAAACATGTTCTTTTTTGGCCGAACACAACAAATACGCAACGTCAAGTGTAGAGCCACCGTAAGCAAAATATCTATTACAAATGACAGATGACAGTTAACTGAAAAATGTCAATGTGCTCTCATGTGGTTGTTTATTTACAAAAAACAAAAATCTAAAAATACTGCTCGCTACTCAAGTGACTATTACACTTTGTATTATTAGAAAGAAAGAAAGAAAAACCATTTATTTTGCTACGACACACAACAAGAATTTAGAAACCCAAAAAATAACCTATGGTGCGTCGCAGCGCAAAAGGCAATTAGGAATGATCCTGTTAATTCAGCAAGCATGATGCACCTATAGAGTTTTAAAGAGTATGCCTCACAATCTTTTTCATTTCTTAGGTGCCTACGAAAATGCAAATTCATAATGTAAGCGACTGTCATTGGGTAGAAGGCCTACATTTAGCAGTGGAAGTCTTGTGGCGGATATGATAAAACTAATGTCTCACTTCACCTTGAATCTTGCAGGTAGATAGTCTCAAGGGTCTCAAGTTAATTCGATTTAAACTTAGCTTAGCTCTTTGAGAAAGTATTTCTTCTGAAAACTGGTTGCTTAGCACGCATGTAAGGATTAATTTCTAATAAGTAAGTCAAATTAGTAGAATCATCAACATTTTCATCATTAAGTCTATAAGTGGCCACTGCTGACCGAAGCCTCTTCTCGCATGGAGGTTTGAGCATTAATCACCATACTAGCTCAATGTGGGTTGGTAATTCAAACTTATAATAAGAAATTATAAGCCCATGTTTCCTCACAATGTTTTCCTTCACCATTCGTCAGCGGTGTCTTTGTACTTTCTTAGATTATTGAATATACCAATAACTCGGAAAAAAGACACATTGGACAAAAGGTACTTTGCCGTTGGTAGGTTTCGAACCCGCACTCTCATGCATGAGAAGCGGGCTTCTTAAACCTCTGGGCCACCACATTACAACTAAAGAAAATGTAAAATGAAAATGAACATTTTTGGTATAAAACTAAAGCTATCTAAATTAAATATGGCATTTATTTTATAGATTGATTCTTAAAATCACTTTTATCAAGATGGAATATATAGTTACTTACTAGGTTAAAATAAAACAAATGTATTATTTTGAAATACTTTTATTTCATTGTATTCAGGTTGTTTCTAGGAGTACTTCATCTAAAAAGAGAACAGGCCGTGTCATAGGTACAGCAGACATCAATTGCTGATATCTGTAAACAAGTAAGATAACTGTAAATAAAGTAAACAAAAGTACATTTTTTCCTTTAGTTTTATATGTTATAATAATAAGTCTGATTCCCTATCTTAAAATGGAAAAGATAAAAATAAATATTTGATTACATTACTTCATTTTATAACATTTATTATAGTTATTCGTATAACACAGATCATAGGAGCTCAAACAGCATGCTAATTAATAAATTATAATTATAACATGAGTATAAACCTATTAGAAACCGCTTATATACTCCACATAGATACATAATTATGTAGGTACATTATATTGAGAATGCATACCTGTTGAAGCTTTGAGAGCCGAACAACATCATCCGGCCTCATCTGTTCTACAAATGGCAATGTTAAAGTGAGGCTTAGTCCATGTTTACATAATACATTACTTCCTGATAGTGAACACTGTGAGGTGGTATGTCAGGTTGTGGTTTTATAGTTTCGACTCTTGTACGGTCTCTCAGTCAGTATGGAACATGATCTTCATCATGGGAAGTAAGCTAAAATAAGTAATATTATTAGAATATGATATTGACTTTAGATTACACTGTATATAGATAATAGTATGGTTAAATTATGCTTTATTACCTCTTGTGGCTGAATCCAATCAAATACTATATGAGCCAGTCTTTACTCCTGTTTGTTGGCGCCTTCAATTAAAACCCTGCGTCACCTTATCATTGCAATGAATCACCCATATACGACACAAACATGCCAGTGACCAATTTGTTTGCTGGACATACTTTCAGCAACATCCGATACATTGCTAATTGCCAGCAAGCATTGCAAATATGGTCGGTAGGAGAGATCTAGAATAAAAAGAATAAAATGATACATTATGGGTAGATAACACTATGCGCCTGTTACGACTAGACTATACCCCTGACTTTCGATATGTTATGGGTAAACTAGGTACTTACATCTCTAGGATAAGTCCACATTGGGATATTGTTGACCACGTCTAATCTTCACTCTCATTTTCTAGAGCATGCCGTCTCATGTGCGACAAACTCTGAATGCAATTAATACACTGTAAATTCATCATCGCGACAAATAACAACACACTGCACAAAACAATGTAAATAAGTGTCTTTTCGCAATTGTCACAACAATGATCCAATAATACCAATTTGGGCTACGGAGGAACGGTTGCCAAACTTAACGTATCACCAGATGAATAAAATAACTTCAAATTCAACAAACACATCATAACATCGCATTTGAAACAAACAGCAATGCGCCAGTATTGACAAATTAATTGTCAATGTCATCAAGACAAATGCCAGTTCAACATTGCCATAATATTCAAGTTTGTTAAAATGTTAATTATCATTAATAATCCATGTAAACGTAGATTTAGATTGGATGTAGATTTTTATATTTACTTATAAAAATGTTTGAAATGGAAAGGAAAATATTTCATTGATAGATATTAAAATAAATGAGTTTATGAAATAGCGAAATTCAATATGCTCTGATTTCATCTTTACGCATGGCAACTTTGTAAACGTCAATCGCGGTTCGTTTTACGTATAGTGGATTGCTTTTTATCATTATTGAATATCAGTTTTTCTAGGGTTTCCCAAGTTTTAAAAATCTATTAAATATGCTAACATAACGTACTTAGGAGGTTCTATAATGACCCAATTTTTTAATGACAAATCTTTTTTTAGCGAAGCGGTACAAAATCTGCCGTTCTCCTTTATGATTATGCATAACTGTAAATATATACATATATCCGTATATATAGGTATAATATAAATTACATAAGATACATTATCAATATTACTAAATAACAATACTATAAAAGTAAATAAATAAATTGGAGATACTAAAAGTAAAGAAATAAAGAAATTGGACTATAGATTATTAGTAGTTTTTTATGGGATAAGTCAATAAGCGAGCGCGCGGATCACCTGATGGTAACCTATTGGCGTCGCCCATGGCCCATGGACACCTGGAACACCAAAAGCGTTACAAGTAGGTACGTTACCGGCCTTTCGGGGATTAGGAATTTGAGGAATGTTGGGGATTTAGGGTTTGGGGAAATTGGGGAAGGGGGAGGGGATAGTTGGAGCTCCGGTAACCTCACTCATACGACGAAACACAACGCAATGTTGTTTCACGTCGGTCTTCTGTAAGGCCGTGGTATCACTTCAGTCGAGCCGGCCCATTCGTGCCGAAGCATGGCTCTTCCACCAAGCTGCAGATATATCAAAGAGGATAATAAGTTAGTTACATTCTATTCTAGCAGCAGATAAAAGTTATCTGATAAGTATTACTTCATTATCGAATCCAGAAGACACTCCATTTCTATTTAGTTGACCCTAGGGGAATTTTTCCTACTCAGGTTAATGCCAACTTTTTATAAAGTGTATAGGACTATAAAGGAACTTGTCTAGCGAATTAAGACTAACGATTTTGTGCATCAGTGCATGGTAGTAATGCAGCTTCTATGTCTGTGAGGTCTCTCTGATGACTCTACCTACAGACCCTACAGTAGCGCTTAGGGTTCATACGCACTATGCGGGTAGCCGCATTGCGGCTAGCCGTCCGGCTGACCGCAAGCACAATTATGTACGTAATATTCATTTCTATGCGCAGTCCGCTCCGGTCGGTCGGAGGGCTACGGCCCGAGTGACGGCCAGCCGGACGGTTGCTATACGAATATATTTGTTGTAGTTGCTATACCGCCATTGAGGCGGGCAGCCGCAGACTGAATGTTGCTGACTGACTGTTTGTGCAGGTGGTACGTCTGGTAAAATGGAATTCGATGCTTGTTCTCATCTCGTGTTTGCAAATAAGGATGCACCCAGTACTTCTTTCTTTGTTTTTTCTTCTTTATGTAACATGTGTAAATGTAGTAAATAGCTGAAACTTCTTCCACCTCCATCTTTGAAATGGATCGACATGACCGCAAATCGCAACTGTTCTTCAACCGCACGTTGCGTTTGCTAATACGGCTGCCCGCGATCCGCGATCCGCTAGCCGCAATGCAGCTACTCGCATAGTGCGTATGAACCCTTACAGCTCTCATTCATCCTTTTCTGGATAAGATCATATCACATTCTGAGATTAAGAGGTGATGCCGATGCAAGCTAGATAGTAAAATCATGGTCCTCCTTTATAAAAAACTAGCTTCTGCCCAATCCCATTTTCCCCCCGTTCCCGTTCGTGATTTTCGGTAAAAAGTAAAAAAGTATTCTATAAAAACTATCCTATGTCCGTCTCCTGGTTCTAAGCTATCTCCCTGCCAATTTTCATCTAAATCGATTGAGGCGTTCTTCGTCGCGATAAAGATGGTTGAGTTATAAATAGTGTAACTAACACGACTTTCTTTTATATATATAGACTTGTTAATACAGACTTATGTTACCTTGGCGCCTGTAAAAGCTACCATATTAGCCATATGTAAATGGGGGTAGGGTTTAAATAGAAAATAAAAACACCACATTTTATTTATATAATTTATTGGTTATATATCATTTTTATGTTTTATTCGTACAAAATTATAGCGGTAACGAGAACAATGTTATTGCCCGTAGTCTATTAAAATAATATACAATACACCAATATTTTTGTTAGCACCATTTTTTTTTATTTTTTCAACTTTTCTACAAACATACCATTACCTTATATTGCTACGAATGCATAGTAATAACGAAAAGTTTATGGTCTTTTAACTTTTTCCATAATAATGTAATTAACTAATATTAAAAAAATCATTAGTTTGATAATGGTGATCAGACGTAGGAGTACGTGTCTACAACTAAATGAACTTACAATAGTCACTGAAGTGAGTGTGGCCGCGACGGTTACAGAGCCAGCGGCGACACACGAAGATAATTTGGTCCAGCTTCAACAACATTCAGTTTACACTTTGTTAATAATATCATGAATCTCCACATCGTCAGTACAGTCTTTGGTTAGGACAGCAGAGATATTATCAGAGATTACATAACTTAAATTTATAATATCACAAGCATAATAAATTGAAACACTTCATACTTAGGAAGTTCAGTCATACATTCATATGATCGTCGTGTAAGAAAGCTGATAAGATTCATCTATAATTTAATAGAATGATCATTTCCATAATTGGGACATCTACGCTAAGGCAAAATAAACTAGGAGCAGAGTGCATAACGTATAGTGCGGGCTGTGGAGCGAGGCCGTGCTACAGGCTACTACTACAAGCGCTACGTATAGATGGCGACACTGCGACACTACAGTTAGACACAACCGACAAAGGGTACAATGCACCAAATACTATGCGAAGAACGTACAGTAATGTACATCGTCGTTTTGTCCTACTACTTATGTTACACGTACTTTTTAATACTTTCAAGGCATATCTTGCGTTTACTAAATCCACCTTAAGCTAAACTACACCTTACATTTTAATTGCTACGTTCCGCGCTCCCGAGTGCGTCTTACGTCCGATAAATATTACAAAATAATTTTTATAATGACTCGAGAGCGTGGAGAACGTGTCTATCACTACTAAAATCTTTAAAGGCACAATAAATGAGCTTATGGCAGCATCATGCCTACGATACGTATAAGGGACAACAAAAGGAGACCTCCTTTACAACTAACGCAACGCTAAGAAGGTCAAGTAGAAACAAATCAAACACTACAAGAAATGCTTGTAACCTTTGTATACTAATCTAACATAATTACTCCCTACTGAATAATATCGTACCCCTCGGGACCAGCGCTCACTGTCAAAGGCTTGTCGCCGCATGAAATAATACACCGAGCAATTTACGAGAAACCGAATATACCACCACCGAGAGTAGTCGCCATTAACTAAATCTCATTAAGCAGTACTCGCTACCTTAAGATACGACACGGAATACTCTACAGTACATCAGGGGACTGTCCACTTTATGGGCATACAACGTGGCAGTTCCTGGGTACGCTAAGATTGACCGGGTATCTTTAGTGCAGAAGGCAAATTTTAGCGAATAATTTAGTTGGATCAGGAATTGCATCGCAATCGAGGTGCTGAGTAGAGACTCGCCCGCGCGGGTGTCACTTGGAGGAGGGGTAGTAGTAGAGCACGGCGCAGCCCGGCAGCTGCCAGCGCGACGCGTGCAGCTCGATGAGCTGCAGCAGCGTGCGGCGGATGGACGGCGCCGCGCCCGCCGTCAGGAACGCGTCGCGCACCGCCGTCAGCAGACGCTCCAGCTCGCCCGGCAGCTGCGACTCCAGGTCGCGCCCGATGTACGTCAGCACGAAGAACAGGTTCTCCGTCTGTCCACGGTAGCGCTCGTCACAACACAACCTTACATCTCCAACACAGTAAGAGAAAACACGTGGAAAACACATGTTCAGTACGAATGGGCCGACTGGACCAATCACCCTTTTTCACATTCTCTCCAATCCCCCAAACGCACTTGTAACGCCTCTGGTGTTACGAGTGTTCTGAAGTGCCGATTGCTTACCATCAGGTGATCCATCTGCTCCTTTGCCGGTTTTTCCCATTAAAAAAAGAAATTAATTAAACTTTAGCTTGATATTCTTTCAATAAGAAGTGCCAGAAACACAGGTCAAATTCTAAGTCTCCAACCATAGCTGTAGATCAGCAACATAAGTGAGTAAGGTAGGTAATATACTCACATCGCTGGCAGAAGGCACAGGCTGACGGATGCAGTCCTCGCAGCACTTGCAGATGAGCGTGAGCAGCACCTGTCCAGGCTGAGCGGAGGCACCGCGGCGCTGGATGGCGCGCCGTCGGAGCTGGCAGTACATCTCCAGCAGGAACGACAGGAACGCCATCAGGCGGGGACGACCGCCGCCCACCGTCGAGCCCAGCAACTGATACCATTCATTACAAACGTTATTTAATTAATAGGAATGGTACAGAAGGTAAAGTGACGAGAAACGTACTAAAAAGTTTACATTGGAGATTTTTTTTAAACTTTGCCCCACTTTAGGATTTCCTTCTGTGTCGTGGGTGCGTTTACAAACATACAAGTTCACATACACATGAATCATCAAGCAAAGAGTTGTTCCGTGCGGGAATCGAACCCGCTACGTGTTGCACGGCAGCCCGTTGCCCAGCCGGCCGCGCCAGAGTTCATAAAAACTAAAAAAAAATATTTTAATCTCGTTGGAAAGTAATTTGTCGGTACAATTGCTTAGGTTCCAGTGAAGCGATATCACAGACTCACAGAAAACCTTCGCAAAGGCCAGATACGCATCCAAAACTACTTTGATGCTACGATTCTCCATTAGGTGAAACGTTTGATTTGCTCGCGTATCTGTAAAAAGATGTGGCGTGTTTACCTTGTCCCGGTCGTGGTACCACTGCTGGCAAGTGTTGAGCAGCGACTCGAGGAAGGTCTCGGTACTCTCTCGCTCGACGACGGCGATGCAGCGCCGCGCGGCCGGCAGCGCGTAGCGCGGGGACTCCACCGCGCGCGACACGAGGTGACCCACCGCGTCCATTAGGGTGCGCGCTGATACTGCGTTCGGGTCTGAACAAACCACCATCAGATGTTACGATATATATCACAAAACTGCATTGAGTTCTCAAGTAAAACACGTTAATAAATTCTAAAAGCAAAGTATTCCTACCGTTTCCACAATGAGCAATCAGTTTTCTTCCCTTATTCAATACGTTCACACTTCATGACTTTGACCAGAATTCTAGGCTACAGTACCTAGTCTAGAAATGAATGTCATCAAAAAAGAAAAATATACAAAAATGCTTGCCTTCGAGAGCCTTATCGATGCATTCCTGAATTTCGGGCGGGAAGTTGCCGAGGTCCCCTGCATCGGCTGCGAGTCCCAAGGCCGCCATGCCACTGGCCAGCGCGTCAGCCGACGTTAACGACTTGGAGCGCTTAAGGCCAGGCGTGAACGACTGAGGCCTAATGCTCTTGCCATTGCCGTTCGTCAGGGACGAAGGCGGCGACTTCTTCTTCTCCGGAATGATCGCTTGCTGAGGCTGCAGCTTGAAGTGGACACGGGGTCCCACCTGTAATGGTACACGCAATAATATCATACTTCTCGTTAGTCGATCATAGTAAGCTGCACTTTTCTCTTTAACTTTTCCCACTTCAGTTGAGATCGACGAGATAAGGCTGAAAGCAAAGCATTTTATACGGAGCATATAAATCGCTAAGGGTGATACCATAATGACACTTAATTGAATTACCAATAATTACAATTGCAATAAATGTTGGATCAATGAACTCTGGAACATTTTAGAATATTATCAATCGGTGTCCACACAGGGACTGTAGTCACATAGCTAATTGGATTTATACGGAGCATATAAATCGCTAAGGGTGATACCATAATGACACTTAAGTTACCAATAATTACAATTGCAATAAATGTTGGATCAATGAACTCTAGAATATTATCAATCGATGTCCACACAGGGACTGTAGTCACATAGCTAATTGGATTTCAATATTTTAATAATTTTATGAACCTATTGTGAATAGTGTTTCAGTTCTCAAGAGCTAACAAACGTTTAGTAATCCGCAAGAGTAGTTAGGTAACCTGTCAACAATGAAAACTCTGGGAACACGGGGCACATCGAACAGCCTTTCAATTTTCATAATTAGAAGCTGATCAGTTGACTAGATGCTGAGTAAGATGAACAGATTACATTGTATACACGCTTGCATCTCATAATGACTGACCATTTTAATTATACTTAAGGCATACCATTTGCCATTGAATCATTATTTTCTTGTAATTTGTGCAGCGGAACATTTCTCTGATTTTGTCCAAACGACATCATTATATTTCTTCCCTCGTATAGGTAATCAGAGTTGCACATAGGTAGTAGTGTAGGGTGTGGAGGGCACTTAGTATGTACATTGTACATGCTTAGTAAAAACCGACATCTAATTGTCCACTTTCTTTTTATTTTTTCTTTCTTAAAAAAACGTTGCCCCACATTAGGATTTTCTCCTGTGTCGTGGGTGCGTTTACAAACATACAAGTTCACATACACAATGACACCCAGACCCGAAACAACAATTTGTGGATCACACAAAGTGTTGTTCCGTGCGGGAATCGAACCCGCGACACGTTGCACGGCAGCCGGTTGCCCAGCCACCGCACCAACAGTGCAGTCCACTGATTCTGATGTTGAGGTTTCAGAGAGGAGAAGTTAACATTTAGTGGAATGTTATGGGTACTTAGACTACAAATCACCTCAGATAGAGCAGAAGTAGAGCCGACAAGATAGACACTACTTTTGTATTACTTATTCTGTGTTCTGTGGCAGTACCTGTGCATGCGGCACGTTCCCGCTGGAGGCGCTGTTGAGGAGTGCGTGGGGCGGCATGACGGGCCGGTAGTGCGGCGGTACGTGCGCGTGCAGCACCGCCGAGCGCGAGTGCTGTAGCCCCACCGTCGCGTAACCGATGCCCATCGCCGGCCTGTAATGTTACACGATACACGTTACATATGTACTTTACACTATTGCATACAACTTGTTCTGAGGCAGTTGCTTCACCGGCAACAATGAACGAGTAGCGAGTAAAGCTAGAATTGGAAGCGAGTTGGCGACCCGCGGGGAACGAGTGCGTATAGTTCCGATTCCTGCTCTTGCGAGTGCTCGCCGGCAGTGTGAACAGTCAGCGATCATCTATTCGTAAATGCATCTCTTTTGTTTACACATATAATTATATCTATTAATACCTACGTTTCTTGAGCGAGAAAATAGCCGATAGTTACTCGTTTTCTCGTTGGGGCGGTGGGACAAGTACCTAAGACAGGACTTCAAACAAATTGATAAGACTTTGGTGTGGACCTAGTGTTTCAAAAGTTCTACTACTATAGTTTTGTGGCTGTAATAAGCATAACTTTATGTCCCATAAATTATTTTATGACGATCTAAATGAAGTTTCTCAAAGAGCAATAAATAAGCTTAAAGCTAGTTAAAAAAGTAGAATGCATAGTTGTTGTACGATGTAAAATGATTTACACGAATTTCAAGTGAAATCAAAGACCACCGACGATCAGCAGACAAAACAGTGAATTTCCGCGCGTCTACGATTCAGCGCAAGAAAATGTGTATTTTATGTAATGTTTGTAAAAGATGATAATGTGCGTGTAATATATGTCATGTTTATAATGCGACAATACGACAGAATCGTTTATCTAGTACAATGCCAGCCGCGCTCGTTAATGTTATTTAAGTACGGTACATATCACACGAGATTAACAGCATCGCGAAAAATCAACAGCGGTACTGAAGTAAATTACATAAAATGTGGAACGCTTGCTAGACAAACTCAAATGAACTCGGCAGTCTTATGTACGTTTAGATAATAAATAATAGTATTGTGATAGTACGCTACCAATTTACAATTTACTTCCCCGCATTTTACACGAAGGATTCCATGATTGTAGGAAAACTTCAATCTGATGAAATAACAGTGTATGTTTCAAACAACACTGTGAATGAGAAATCACAGTGATTCATAGCAAACTATTTCTATCTCAATTTATAGACACTTGTAATTTATGGCTAAATGTAGTAAGGAAAATTATTTCCTTTAAACTAAATAAATCTTTGGCAGAACGTTCAAAGCGTTAGCAGCAAAGCGAGAGCTATAATTTCCGTTAAATTCCTATTTGTGATTGCTATCTCCCATCCTTGCGTTTTATTATCCATGTTTGTGCCTGTTACATACTCATAGGTAATAATTAATATGGGGAACAAGTTGCACCAGTGCATAAACTACACATAAATGAACCAGGTGATGTCAACGTTGACGTATTGTGTTCTTTCATATTCAAATGCAGTGTGCCATTACTGAACTTCCTACATTGTTTCACTCATCTCCCTTACAACATCATATTGTTAAAACTAAACGATGATGAGGAAAAAGCCACCCACTTCAATGAGTTTTAGCTGTTGAAACGTCTCGTTAAAACTAATATATTAATCATAACAGTGCCGAATGGTGCTGCCATAACGATTGTTATTCATGGTGGACAATGGCAAGCAGTGGCGCGTGCCTTATAGCCACGGGCAATGGACATAAACCTCATAAATAATAAGTAATCATTGTCGTAATGCCGTGCGCACTAACTAGCCCGTTATGGTGCTCCACTCCTGCGCAATGCCACGCAAATTATCATTATGATAGGAAACGATGGCGAGGATTAATCATGAACTCATTATTCTACACCATACGTTACTAGTACCGTGGATATTTTAATAATGAGATACAAAATTTTGAATACTTAAGGACATCCTGATTTTTTTTTAATTCAATGTAACACCTAAATGACAGAATACTATAAAATGTTTCATTTGTTCGAATAGAAGGAACGTTTTTTTTTATGACAGTTTAATTAAACAACACAGTCAATTAACTTGAATTGGTTATGAAGCATTTCAACCTAAACTAGATAGATACCGTCAGAAACTAGAAATTATTAACTATTGGGTAATATGAAAAGGACATTCTCAAATTCTAACCAAGCTCTCCAATTCTCTATGGATGCAGATTACGTTACAATTAAAATGATCCCCAGAATATTCATTATTGACCTACATTCTATCTTCAATAAGTTGAAGGTCCATTTATTTCCCCTCGTGACACAGACAAGGTGTCTAGAGAGTAGAGAGCCAGTGTTTCATAACCGGTGCGGTGCCAGTGATGACGTGTCATAAAATGGGGACAAGTGGCGTGTCCTGTCCACACTGCACTCTATTGTCGCTTCGCAACCAAGTATTTATCTAATTTGTGCCTCAAACTGGCAGCACGTGATGTATCTCAACAAGTGGAGTTGAATGCCCGGACTTTTTGTGAAAAAGCCAACTTTGGCGTGTTAAAATGCTCTTTAAAGAATTGCAAATTCTGAGGGAAAGACTAAAAGAGTCCTACAGAAGGTTCAGTAGTGCTAATACTGCTGCACGTAGTTACTGTAGAATTCATTCATTCTTTCTTCATTATATCGTACAATTTAAAAACTTTGTCAGCGGGTTTTTACAATTACTTTACTTTCTTTTAAGACCAGTGCATCATAATAATTAATTGGCGTCTAGCAAGGAATTTTTACTTTAAAACATACTCATAAATATTAACTTAACAGACACTTAAAATTATTCAATAGTTTTTAATGTCGTTTAGCACGATTTACATTGAATAAACTGGTTTAATTAAATGAACAAGCAATGTAAAGTTTGACGCATTGTTTCTTACTGGTGAAAGTATTAAACTTGTCACTGGTAAATCTTGCTAAACTACGTATGACATTTATTCAACCACAAGACGACACGAACATTGAAAACATGCTGAAATAATTTTATTACTCATCATGGGTACATTAAAATATTTAAATGTAGGAAGTCCTCGGCTTTAGATTAAACAGTCAGCTGCCAAAGAAAATTCAAATGCTTTCAATTTTATAGCAGTTTCGACATATTTAATTCACTCAATGTGAATCTAAAATTAAATGCTCGAGTGGTCCAAGCCGAAAGTGAGAAGTTGTGTTGAAAAAAATGTATAAATAAAAAGGTACGTGATGGTTGCAAGGTTCTGTGAAAATAAACTTTTTTTCACTGGGCTGAGGGGGGCAATTATCTAACCAGAACTTATAATTTTATGACTTGAGAGTCATTCGAAATGAATCGTGGTTGGTAGGAGGATAACCTTCAGGAAAATTGTAAACAATATCTACATAAACCCTTTTAGGAAACTGGCAGCTCTTTTACGTTACATATCAATGTTGTCCAAATGCATCAAATTATATTCATAACCATATTCACACATTTTCAAGGCTAATTTGCGAATACATATACAAACTAGGTCATAAATGTGACAAAACAGGTGACACAGATGCTGTTGGACATCGGTTGCAGCCATCGTCCAAACAATCGATCAAACATTGCGTAAAGGGTCATAACAGATAGTTGATACTGCATGCGGTCAGTGTGGGACAACTGAGGCAATTACGTATAAACAAGACATCCAACACGATAGCTCATATTGCAGCCAGAATGCCGTGACTCACGACTAATAAAATTGCACGCCGCCGGCACCAGCGCAATTTTTCCACGTTCACAAATTATATTGTTATTAATGATCCAAATTGTATTTAGGAAAGTTACAATACAGTTCCAATTTTAAAATGATGTTTAGAAACAATTTCAACTGTACTCAGTTGAAATTGTCGACAGGCCCTCCTACTGGAGGGCCTGTCGACACACAGACACACATGCAGGCCACGCCACTTGTGTTGACAGAATTTGCATAAAATTTACCAATTGCCAGAGAAGTCAGTGGAAAATCGTGAACAATTAGTGAAAATGGTTAAAAACTAAGCGGATGAAGTCATATTTATAAACAGAGAGTAACGCTGTGCCTTGACCTTGAGATCGTGTAATGACAAGTCGACAAACATTAGAATGATGTCTAAAGATGATGAGAATGACGCACCGCACTGTCGCTCTATTGAATGGAATCTGTTTAGTCTGGGAACTAACTAGTGTTTAAGTGATACAAGTTATTGATACAAGAGCCAAATTAAAGAGCAATCACACAAATTATGGAAGATCAGAGTGTCTTGGTGAGTAATGAAAATGAATAGCAAAAGTTGCCGATGTGTTTGGGAAGTGGCTACGTAATTTTATAACCCACGCTGTTTCTACGATGCCAAAAAATATTCACGTGTTCGTTTATCATTTATTGAAACCAGATTTTTAATTTTCTGCTTATATACACTACTTCAGGCAATATTTTGGATTTCAGCATATTTTCAAGATTATTTCTATTGATGGTGAAGCAACTCTCAAAATGTCTGGGAATAGTGGCATGTGATCTTACTGGCAAACATAGAGCAACCTGCTTTTGTCCCCCGAAAGAGCACGAGTGGTATTTACACATAATCCGAGCCAAGACTGCGAAAAACCATATCATATTTTGGAAAAACTTCTACTTGCTTTCAATCTAAAGGTAAAGAGAATAATTATTGTAAACGGCTGACCAAATAAAATGGCACATAACACACTTAAATGATAACTCATAGTCTTAAGTAAACAGTTGTTCTTGGGTGTGTTAAATTAAATTGTCTTTGTAAATGAAACTTAAGTATCGTGCCCCAAGGCATAAACAGATGTTTTTGATAAGGACACCTCGTGTTTCAGCTCATCATTATTTACCTACATGTACAACTCATAGCCCAATTCAGTCTGTTAACATTAAAGCATTTTTAAAATTTTGTCCTCAACAAGGGTGTCAATCAGCTACGATGCGCGACAAGAGATAAAAACAAACGTGGCAGTGGTCTATCAACGATTCACTAGCGCCTGCGCATGTACCAACATCAACAAAGGACAATAAACAGAGTAGAATCTTTACGTCCATGTCGTCAATTGGGTAAGAGTCTTCGAGTTAAGTGGCTTGGCTCGAACAATTCTGAGATTAAACGCTGCAGCCTGACTAACAATGTTGTTTCGGAAAATTTTGGTACTCACACGTCAGACGTTGAATATCTTCCGCGAACCATTTTCACAACAATCTTCGTTCAATTAGACTAGAATACACACCAACTATATCACGCTCATCATCGCACTATTTATTTAAATCTTGATGTTTACGCGAGCTACAATAAAATTTATCACTATCTTCAAATGCAAATCTCAATGCAAACTTGGCAATACTGCCGACAAATTACGTCTCATTTCCCTCTTAACATCACAACTTTATTAATAGAATCCAGTATCCGCGCACATCCTATCCAGAGCTTACACTTTCCAGTGCGCGGTGCATAAACTTCTCGTGAAGTGGGCGATTTGTCGGCGAATCACTCAAACGGCACTGTTGAGATTTGTACTCAAAAATACGGAGTGTACGAGTCAAGTTCGTTCGGAAGCGTTCGCGATTCGCGTTATAATTTGCTCGTTGTTTGGTCGCGGTCGTGTCGGGAACTCCGCGCGTCTCCCGGCGCGTGCGCGGACTGCGCGGGGCGGCACGCTGTTCAGCCCGTTTTGGCGCGCGCGGGCGTGTTCGCGTCACCGTAGCCAAGAACAAAGTGATAACAAAAACTCTACAATTGATACTACGAGTACGTGCCTCTACATACGCGTTGTGAACATCACAGTTTCGCACATTATTTCATAGATTTTTGTTTTGTCTCTGTTGGCGCCGTGCCAGCATCGGCCATCGCTTCCAGTCACGTTACTACCGTTGATGAGAAACAAACTACTCGACACCAACCAGAGCAAGGTCAAAAACCGTGTGGACGACGGAAAATTATCTGAATTCTTATTAAAGATATATGAAGTAACTTCAACTGGAAGCCAAAATATCTATGTAAATTCGCCTAAATAAGTGCGCTGAAATAGGTAGGTAGGTATTGAATCGATAATTTGACATTTAGCACGTTTGTACAATGGACAGGTTCATCGTCTGCAAAGTCAAGGTTTCACAGTCACTTCGCATCATGCAAATGCAATTAGACATTAGACGGCTATGACGACTGAGGCTAAACTTGTCGACATGATTTTATCATAAGAGTGGATGCAAAATACATGTTTGGCCAGCGAGCCCGCATGGCAGCAGTTGGTTGGTGAAATGGATGCACTGCACTATAAATAGCATCCAAGGACTATCATAATTCGTCATTTGTTTTATAGCACCATGATTCAATAATTTTTTTTATTAGGTGGACCCTAAATAAATCGTATAACATTATCGTCTTGTAATAAATTTTAAGAAAATTGTATTCAATAAATGGGCCTCCAATTTCAGGTTATAAAGTTGTTCTTAATTATACAGGTAGAACTCACCTATTTTGCAGGTCGGCAGGCTTGGCCATGGTGAACTCCTTAGCGTGAACATTGAGCTTGTTGGTCGAGGCGGGTGTAGATGCAGTGGCCGCTGTGGTTGAGGTTGTCGTCCCCGAGGTGGCAGCTGTGGTCGCCACGCCGTCTGTGCGGACACCTGGTGGTCAACGGTGGTCGTCAAGAGAAGAGGGAGATAGGACAGATGTCGTGTACTAGGTTATTAATGGAAGATAGTAAGATGTACAAAAGCACGCTCCACTTGACAATAATTGTGAAACGTTCTTACATAGCGGTGTCATCAGGGTGTGATCGTGAGACAGATGAAGAAGTGAGGAGTTCTGAACTTTAGAGTTGAAAGAAGTGTAATAAATATCAACAGCACCACATCCCTTCTATCCGGAAGGAATATGGCTAACATTACGTATGAATGAACAGATGGAACTTGGCCAAAACACCGTGACACACTAAGAAAATATAGATCAACAAGAAGCCTGAAACTCACTAATACATATAAATAATAGATCTATTAACCTATTGACTAAAGACAACATGGCGTAGGAATTGATATTATATTAGTTTTAAGGTCTCCATTGTAAAAGTATTTAAGATTTTTCTTCTTCATAGAGGTACAAGATTATTCATACGAGAAGCAAAGATTAATAGTTCGAATGTTTCACCCTCTTCCTTCGTCACTTTGCCAAAACTGTCCCACGTTGAACGCACTAAAAAGCAGACAATACTGATATACTGAATTCAAACAAAGTCAAGCTCTGTTTCAGTGACAGTTTATCCAAAATTCGCAAATAATTTACCAAAACATACGAGTGAATCAAGTGACTCAACCATGTTTAACAAAGCACGCGAACCGATAGAACAAACTAGTAGCATGAAACACAATACACAATGTTTGACATCAGGAAGGAATCAAATCAAAATATCAAACACCTAAACAAAACCATGTATCAAAAATCAATGAAGGTACCTAATGTTTACCATTTACAAATGCATAGAGCTCAAAAAGGCACTGGAGGACTTGGAGGTGCGTGATCAGAGTTCACGGTGATCTTATGGTTATAAGCACTAGGATTGAAAAAAGGATGCAGGATACTTCTTAGTACCGTCTATTATCTCACTCATGGCCATGGCTAAGAAATATGTCAGGTTTTCGAATCGTTTTCAATAAACTTTTGAGCAATAAAGTCAACCTGGATAATTTTCCAAATGAAACCAATCTGGTATGAGTTAAAGCTTCTGAGGCCTTGTATCTCAACATTGTAAACTCTTCATCATCAAAATGTTTTGAGTCATATTCAAATCATAAACCATTCTACGGAGTAACTGCGTCACGAATAGTCACAATGTTTAGCAGAGTTACTATATAATTTATTTTCGGATAACGACGCAACTTTTCAAAGAAATATGCTTCAGCTTTTAGGCAGCATTATGTCATCATTAAAATCTCATAATAGTGAATTGTTAAGTAAAAACTTCCTTCACAAAGCAGGTTCAGCTTTTTAAGAGGGAGAATTATTATGGTGTATAATAATATGTACCAGTTTACAGCATTGGTCAATACGTGCATGCATAGTACAGGTACAGTTAGATTGATTGATGTCCGGTGGGCCGCTAGCTTGGTCTGGTATGTGGGTCTTCAATTAGATACGTCAATTATTATTTTACTCACGCTTGGATTTAACGTGCATTATATTTTGTACCTATCACAAAGAAAATGGTCTCAAAAAGAAGAATCTTATACAAGGCGATTCCAAATGCATTTCGGGTATTTTTACCCTTAGTACCTAGTATGAAAAGTTAGTTTCGGATTTCTGCAACATTTTGCTTTCGACATCAATCAGGACGATTGTTTTTTGAAAATCTAAAGAAGAACGCGTACTTATGATAGGGTTTTTTTTAAGGTGGGAAAATCATCGAATGGCTTTCGCCCTGGCTCAAAGGCTCCCGCCAGGGTGAGGCGGGAGGGAGTGTCAGACTCTTACTGACTAAAAACCACACTGTTTCTTCTCCTGCACGTAGAGCCGGAGCCCCGGTTACCCATTACGTTGTTTTAACATAGGGCACGTAACCGACATATCAGAATGTCAGTATTTGAAAATGAACTATTGGATTTAACAATGAAGAATAAAAAAGAACCGCTTATTTTACAAAATAATAAACGGCAATGAATCTAAATCCAATTATTTAAAAAAATAAAGCCATATAGCAACTATATAAAATCATCACGAATGTAGTAAGCGTGTGCATCTAATTGGGTAACCTAGATCATCGCGCGCCGCACGCGAGCCGGTCCCGCTCAACTGAACAAAAGCGAAACTTTCATCCAAGATTTACTGGCAATGTATTTTACAGTATTCGCTGAAACTCATATTTCGACAGGGAATAAGTGGATTTCAAATTAGATAGTAGCGACTAGCTACACAGTGGCGACACTTTGCTTTGCGTAGCTACACAGTGGTGACACATTTTGCGGATGTTCTACAGTCTGCTAATAACTAGAGTAACAAAGAGACACTTTTCTCGTCACAAAATTGAAAACTATTCAGTCAATTTGTGAAAATGCGAGTCTGACATCTTAAAACATCACATTTAGAACAAACGACAAAATGTCACACAATTCAAAAACGTAGACTTTAGACAGTTTCGTCTGTTCCACAAAATCACATGCTCATCTTTCAAAACTCAAAAATCAACTGCCAAGAATAATACACATTTTTTTATTTACATTATAATTAATTTCCATTGTATAGAGTCGCCAAAATAATCATGTTTTGTGACGGAAATAACACATGTACCGCCAAGACTCAATGTTGACATTACGGAAAGGTTTCAAACAATCTCACGACCGGCATACGGCCGTACAGCTCAATGTAAATAAATTGGCGATTTACTACAACTACCGCTGCCTGTTGCTGAATGTATAAACAAACCTGGGGCTTCAGAAACTGGTTGTGCAGCAGTCACGGTCACAGACACCGATACCGGAGTCACGGACACGGGGGAAACAGATACCGGCGACACCTGAGCCACGGGGGCGACCGGCGCGACCGCCACCGGCTGAGACAACGACTGTTTCACGATACACCGAGACATAATAATATCTCACTTATATCACAACACATAAAATCACAAATAAACATTCGTCTGACAAACGCGTCCCGTCGCAACAAACATTCGACTGTCGACCTGTTCCAAATATGAAATTTGTTTATTTTTAATTTTGGCGCCAATTTTACGTAGAGACGCTAGCTAGCCAAGTATTACATTCAGCCTGTGACAAATCGAGAATCGGTATGCAACACATTAAAATCGATTACATTTGAGTTACATAAATAATTGAATGATAGTTATTAGTTTGAATATTGCTGAAAGTGTTGAATTGTTAGCGAAATTGTTATAAATTAATGATACATTCAATACTTGTTGTATCTGCTTCTTTTACATGTAAATGTAAAAAAATATTGCCAAGAGTATTTAATTGCATAATGGTAAACGTTTCTTGAACGTTTTTTATTAAGAAAGCAGACAATATCGAGTTGTAGCCGCTTTGCCATCAAATTGGTCGAGTACCACAGTTTTCTCCTTATTGCCTTATTAGCAGATCATCTAATTTTACGTACCAGGAGGTCTGTAAATTTCCAGCGTAGGTTTTCCTTTAGCGTTGGTCAGAATCATGCTCCGTCGTTTTGCATTGTTGAACTGAAATAATAAAGTTATTTTAATGCTTTTCTGTTACCAAATCCAAAGCTAACATACAGACGATTAATTAACTGTACAAATTAAAAAATCATAAGATCATATATTTATGGATGATAAAATAGTTTTCTCGAGTTTAGATTAATCGACTACAAAATAACCACAAAGGCTATTGAGTTATGCAGACAGGACGTAGGCGTCGGAACAGAGCGTATCGCGACCTACCTCCCTACCTACGCATTGACTGCAATCGTACTAGAAATCCTTAGCACATAGGTACCAAGGTCTTTATAATTTAATTAAATAAAAATCGGAACCGTGGTTGCGTTATAAGATGATTTTCAATCGAATAATCAAATGTGCTCATGTTACAGATCGACTGATACTGACATATTTTGACAATTTTAAACTTTTACTGGAGTAACGTATCCATGATCGGAATCCATATTAATGTCAAGCGACACATCTGAAGGTTGGAACCCAAAGATCATCCAAATTGATCAATTGAAAATAAAAAGATGTACCTGGTTATGATGCATATTGTGATGGGATTGAGGGCGAATGAAGCTCCGCTCCCGCATGATGACGCCGGGAGATGCAAAATCTTGCATCCTGTAGCTTCTCTGCAGCTCGTTACCAACTCCGATTTGGGTCTGCATCTTGCCGATTGTAGTAATCGATTCAACGGAGTCAAGCACTATTCTCTGTTAGAAGTCTATGGAACAGCCCACGGATCCCTGCCTTTTTTGACGTCCTGGCTTTTACTTTTTATAAAGTTCACTGCTATATTTTTCTTCTTTGGTTATTGACGCACTCAGGCTCAGTTAAGTTTTTTAGTAGATATTTTAGATACGTAGTCAGAAACCTCTAATAAAATTAGTTTATCCTCTATCGATTATAAAATTGAATATTATCAAAATAAATACACTAGATCAATGACTAGTATTATAGTTACTTTACGCAATGTCACACCTATTATGATTAAGTATATTTTTTAATATTTACAATTTAAAAAATAAACAACTAACAATACAACGGGCAATACGCGTTAAAAATGCGATTTGAAAACAGCAAAGCGATTATAATAATGAATTAATTATTTTAAATAATCACAATTTTTATATTATTGTGACGTCACGTTAGAGATCACTATTTTTCTCTTTTTTATATATGCATATATAAAATGTACATAAATTAAAAACCCTCTGTCGTGGCCACTGATAGAGGGCGTTCTGTCGAGATTTTTTCGTTTTTAGTACGGCTATAATACAAGAAATAGTGCAGGTATAATTTAGTGCCTGACAGTCACCGAGCGATTTTTACAATTTTTCGAGGGGCCGAGAAGTCACTTCTGCGGCTCCGATCTCGAATCGTTTCGTCGTAGGGGTTCGGTAAACCCTAATCTGAAACAAGGAAAGCATAATTTTGAATGGTGCCTGAAAAGGTTTCCCGTAAACAAAATACGAAAGTTAGGAACTAGTGAAATAACAGACCTTAAGTGTGTCCCAGTTTTTACATTATACAATTGTTAATTAAAAAGAATCTCTCAATGAATAATATTCTTAATACCATATTCAAAAGTAAGTTTTTTCAACATTTTGTTTTCGTAAGACGATTCAACAAGGTTAAGTCCAGTTTCCCAAAATGGTGGCAACACTCAACGCGTGATATTGTTAATACTGCCCAGATTAAATGAGTCAGTGGATTAGCTACGTATGACACACCTTTATACTTTAATCACAAATATGTTGTCTCTATCTTTTAGGAACTTTAATCATCCTACTGCTGCTGGCGCTATTCTTAAAAAAAACCCTACACTAAGTTTTTTTTCTGTATTAAGATTATTTAATACAGAAAAAAAACTTAGTGTAGGGTTTTTTTTAAGAATAGCGGTTTGTATTAACAAACCTACATATTCACAATACGTTACGGTCATATGTACAATAATATGTATGTAGATCACACAAAATGTAACTATATAAATACAACTTCTTCAAGTCCCGAGTGAACAGGTTGCTCATAGGTAGACGTGCTCCATCGTCGGCCACATCATCGCTTACCACCAGGCGAGATAGAAGCAAGCGAGTGAAAATCCTAACATTTCAGGCAGTATAATATAACTAAGAAGAGAAACATAACAGAACCTAGTTAATTTAAAAACGAAAACGCTAAAATTGTAGCGTTTCGTATAAATCAACGTCCGCATTACGTCATTTCCTGATAATGCCTGAATATCTAGTTATACTGGCTATCTTTCAGTTTCCTAGTAACCGGTTTGTACATTACAGCCAGTTGAAAATAAAGGAAACCACCAATTACGAGTAACTATTACGTTTGCCTACTGTTATAGTGTTAGTGCTAAGTTTAATTTCGCGCTATTTTTATTGCGACATTGGCTCATTAACTCACAGGGATTATTGCATACTCTTTGTTGGTTTTGAATTTGAATTGTTTGCAGTATTTTCTATTTGTACTACTGCACTACTAGGTTACTTTATTAAATTTAGTATTAATAAATATATAAACTTACAAAACAAATAACTAGAAACTAAAATATTTACACCTTAAAAAATATAATAATAATAAAATAGCTATCTTAGGCTTAAGGCATCAAAAAAAATTTTTACTCGTCGCTATCGTGAGTTAGGGTGCCCATTAGACTGGCAGCATTGCCACGTTGAATGGCAATGCTTAACCTTTGCTATGTAGTCGTATGAAATCCCAATTCATTCATCCATTCATGTATGGCAGAATGAGCAGATTCGGTGTTTTGGTTAGAAAATCCTAACTGGTGCTAAGGGAATTTAATTATCCCTTCCTTCTCCTTAAGTTAATAGGACAGAAGTTTGTAATAAAATAAAAACGAAGTGTTTGTTATTGGTTATTCGGTTAATAGCTTTCGCCATAGAAGCAATTTCGTAACGTCCACAGCGTAAAAATATTTAGTTCATCCTCATTCCCGAACGCTCTCCCATTCGGTTTAACGCTGCTGTGCAGATAAATAAACTTTTTATTATGTTTACTTCTCAACGTTACGTGAATGTTAAGCGTTACTATTTTTATTGAAGCCATAATAAATAAAATCACGCCTTCGCCACGCCCTCTACTTCTCGAAAACAAGCGTTGTACTAAAATGAATAAAGTATTTTTTTTCTGACTTTCCTCCTTTAACACTTTAAACGCCATGGGGGTCAGGTGTCCGACGTTAGCAGAGGATTTGCCTTCAACAGTTTTCTATTGGCAGTCATAGCCTTAATATAATGGAGACAGAGTTTCTAATTGACGGACTGCACGGTTGGTGCGGTGGCTGGGCAACCGGCTGCCGTGCAACGTGTCGCGGGTTCGATTCTCGCACGGAACAACACTTTGTGTGATCCACAAATTGTTGTTTCAGGTCTGGGTGTCATGTGTATATGAACTTGTATGTTTGTAAACGCACCCACGACACACGAGAAAATCCTAAAGTGGGGTAAGGTTTTTAAAAAAAAAAATAATTTCTAAATGCTCTAACGATAACTATTAAAGAAATTAAAACATGATTTTTATTTCATGCATAGATCTATCAAAGTAGACAGTACCTACTTCTTATGTAATGGGGGGCCAGCTTATCACACACTGGTTGCATCACGATTATTTAATAAACATTCAAGTTTTTTCAACTTCATCTAGAAAAAGAAATCATGCACAAGCAAATGAACGATTGTTTTTTCAGCTTCATAAATCAACCCCGTAATGCGACGTGTCAGTTATGTGACAGTAATGTCAATGGAAATAAGTTGAAATTGTAGAGTGCGTTGAACTGTGCGTATGCGCATCCAGCCGGCACGATTGAGAAATAACTTTGTTTTCACCTGAATTGTTTTGGTGTATTGGGTTTGTTGCGACACATGTCAAATGACACCACATAGATGAAAACAGATCAACGGATGACGTCACAAAATCCTACATCGCATATGTGAATTTTAAAATCCCAACGAACAACTGCTGGGCAGAAAGCCCCCACCAGGCACGATCACCTCGCCTGGTCGGAGGATCCTCCTTTTGCTATCATAGGGAACTATACTCTCTGTTCCCTAAAGGTTTTTAATATAAACGGCGTCAACAGCTACAGCCTGTACATCCACTGCTGTATGGCTACTGGGTTATGGCTTATGGGCCTCTATGGGCCTCCTCTACATAACAATTTTTTAAAATTAACTTCATTTTATCTAAGTATTGTTTTGTTATACGACAAAATAAAAAATATGTGTCTAATATTTTTTCATTATGTAACTGACGGACAATTACATTTTTAATATTCATGCACTGTCTACTACCCTATTGTTTACACTATAACTATAATATTAGTAAGTGTCCCGTGTCCCGTATTCTAGACAATGCATTTTGTGTGACTCACCGCTCTCTCGCACAGACTGCGGTCTGTCGTTTCGTCCTCTGCACTGAGACTCGTTCACGTACTCGTAATAAATTCACTGCAACAAACGTGAAAGTTTATATATTAATCTTTTATTTATTATGTTTCAGTCGAATATTTTGGGTTATTAAACTGTCAAACACCAAGCGGTCACCGGTGACCGCGACCTATTGTTCTTTAATTGTGTCTATAAAACCGGTACTCGACGAGTTAAAATAATTAATTATTATGTTTTTTGGCTTTGACGAGAGGCTCGACTAGTTTCAAGTCATGCTAGAGGATCTAATTCATAAAACAGTAGCAGCGCGACAGTAGCCGGATCGCGAAAATCGCGAAATGCTGTTTATAATTATTGATTCTAACATGACTTGAAACTAGTCGAGTTCCTCGTCAAATAATTACGTGAGTAAGCCGAAAGACATAATAATTTGTTTCTTAAGTGATAAGGGCCTAGAGCAAGATTCCAGTGAGGAGCGGATGAGATATACACAAAAGGGTTTTTCAAGGAAATGGAAATAATTCGGACTGTTTGTCCTTTAGTCATACTGTACGTGTCGCGGAGAACCTAACGGGTAACCGGGGCTCCGGCTCGACGTGCAGGAGAAGGAACGGGGTGGTTTTTAGTCAGTAAGAGACTGACACTCCCTCCCGCCTCACCCAGACGGGAGCAGTCATTCGATGATTTTCCCCCCTTAAAAAAAAGTCATACTGTACGTATGTACGTACCTAATCTTCTTATTGGTTAACTCAAGAGCATGCAAGTGTGATTATGTTCGATAATTCGTGGAAAAAGACTCGCACAATGGCGAAATACTGGTGTACGAATATGATCCTGTCACTTTGGAAACTAAAGGGTCTGATATTTTTAAACTATTAATATTGGCTTTTCTCTTCGGCTCCGTTTGCTCTTATGGAAACGCATTCTCATTATTTCCCAAAAAACATAACATAACGCCTTTTCTCCCCAAAGGGGTAAGCAGAGGTGCACATTACGGCACTTAATGCCACTGTACAATGTAACACCCACTTTTCACTATTTATGTTACGAGTCCCATGTGAGCCTATTGCCATATATCGGGCACAATTCCAGACTCCGTGTTACCACTGAGAACTTTTTTAAAAACGCAGACTATTTTACCACAAAATGTCGATTTTAGTGTAGAGTTATATCTATTTTACATATTCACAGTAGATAATAGAGATGACGCAGTTTACTTAGCTTATTAAGGAATATTTTAAAAATGACACATAATAGCTACATAGACACACCTCCTTTGTGCAAGAATGCTATCAATAACTTGGGCAATAGAGTTGATTATTGCTTGAACTTCTTACAAGTGTAATGCAAATCCTAAATTGCTGGTAGGTACAATAGCTTCGTGTTTCATAGACGGTACGTTTCTTATTAACTACTAGCTCTGAACCCGCAACTTCATCTGTGTTATTCTAAAAGTAGCCTACGTTCCTTCTTAGTACATTAGTTGCTGCACCTGCCAATAAAACTCCCGTTAAAATTGGTCCAGCCATTTCAGAGATAAGTTAATACAAACAGATAGACGAAGAAGAAGTATTTTTATAATTATGTATCAATCGTATGTATATCCATTTAGTAAAAAGCAGTAATTTGAAAGACAGACACTTCAATTGTATTTATCTGGATTATAATTATAACACATAGGTAAATAAGAAATGATAATAATCTTACATCTTCGCCTAGCCTTTTCGTGAACTAGGTAAGAGCCACGGAGTCATATCACGGAGCCACTTCTTACTTTTGTACATTAAGATACTACTGTAATGTCACTAGACAAATAATTACGTTTAATATTCTAACACATTTGGACTCTAAACTTAGCTCCTACTTATGCAAAGGTTGTGCTAACCTTGTAGGTTGCATGTAGTGTTTACCCAGATACAAATAAACAAGCTTCTCTTGGACTTAAGTGGTAATGATGCACCTTGCCATTCTATGATGTCATCGACAAAAACTTGCATTAATGAAATTAATAACATGTGCTTGTTGTATTCAACAGTTGAAATTTTATTTTGTTTTCTTCATTGCGAATTTGTAAAGTTGAAACATTTTTCTGCGTAGACCTACACCGCACCGGTTTCTTATTTGTAGATGTCGCTAGTGTCGATTTTGGCTTACAGAAGTTGTCTACCTCTATAGTGAATGGCGGACTAGTAACTAGTGAATGAAAAATGTTTGTGAAGAACTTATGCTTTCTTATATCCGTTTGTATGCAAAGAATGCCCGCTAGCTGCTTTTCATATAATGTAATGGACAAATTAAAATAAAATATACTTCATTATAAATAGAACTACAATTTGAGAGACAAGAAAAGGGACGTTTAAATTAAAGATCAAAATTCCAACATAAAAAGTGTACAGAATAAATGTAGGCGGAGCGAAATGACATCATCGTGTTTACTCATGTACACAGCTACAGACGCACACATGCTTCTGGAACTCACACAAAAAGATATTATCTCACAAGAACCACCAATCGAATTCCAACTCTAGCATCATGTGTTACCGTTGTTTATTCTTTGTGGTTGGTTTGCGAGTTACGCCAGGATGAGCAGATGGCAGTTGTGTAGACATCACGAAGTCTGCAAAGGTTCTGGGTCAGTGGGCACGAGTTGCTTTTGTTTTGTCGGTATCGATTCATTGATCGATGGAGTTAATCGAGTTTGAATACAATGATCTCGTTTGTTCATCGTCCTTGTGTTCTTAGATTCTAAAAATTCGTTGTTTTGTGCTATTTTTGGATCTGTGTTTAGATTTTTAGGTTTCGTTTGTAGATATTCGAAATTATTATGAAAAGTTTATATCCATAAATAAATTGTTTGTTGATTGAAACATTCTTTGCTATTCATTTAACTGTGCCATTTCATACCTACCTATAATAATGAGCAGTACCAAAATAGCTTAATATCATCTGATTTATTTCGTTGCAGGAACCAAGATAGTTATTTGTGTCCCTGGGACGCGCCGGACTTCAGTGTTCCGGTGTTTTCATGGTTGTATCTACTGTATATCCTGGCGTACAGAAGTTGCAGCGGTTTTATGTGGTTGTCCCACAAAAAGTTCCAAAATAGCCTTATTGGATAAAAATGTATGTAAAGATACATTATTGTTATGTATTTGACGAATGATAGTTTGTAAAACATGGACAATGCTTATTGTACATGTAAGCACACGGTCAAAGCAATAATAATTAGCTATATTATTGAATAATTACCTTTTTATTTATTTTTTCCTCTCTCTCTCTTTGCTGTTAGTTTATTCTCTGTACCTTATTTTTCGCAGATTTTCTATTTAAACCCTAAGGTTGACTGGTAGAGAATGCCATATGGCATTAAGTCCGCCTTATGTGCCATATTAAAATTGTGTACATTAAAGATTAAATAAATAAATAAATAAATAATTCCGATATCAGAATAGACACGTAGCTAACAATATTGTTAGAAACCTATTATATTTAGGGACATTCGATACAATACAGAAACACTGATTCTAATTAGGTATGTACTTACTTGAGTCTTTTTTTAAGGGGGGAAAATCATCGAATGAATGCTCCCGCCTGGGTGAGACGGGAGGAAGTATCAGACTCTTACTGACAAAAACCATCCACGTTAGGTTCTCCCCAACTCCGAATCGGCACTGTACTTGCGTCTAAAGGTCCACAAAAGAGTAGTCAGTTAGGAAATGTCGACCTCATCTCATCGTTCGCTTGAAAAATTGACGTGTAAAAATGCTGCCTCATAGCTTCCCCTATACTTATTATACTCTTTGCTCATTACGGAGTCGCGGAGAACCTAACGGGTTACCGGGACTCGGGCTCGAAGTGCAGGAGTAGTAACGGGGTGGTTTTTAATCAATAAGAGTCTGACACTCCCTTCCGCCTCACCCAGGCGGGCAGTCATTCGATGATTTTCTCCCCTTAAAAAAATACTCTTTGCTCATAGCCTATTTGTAGAAATAAATTCACTTGTTTAGATCCGAAGTCAGATTATCCCCAAAATCCTGTGTCCCCTATACTTATTATACTCTTTGTCCTGTGTCATCTATTATATCCAAGCAGATAATAATATATTATCTGCTTGGATATAATAGATGCCTCGTTGGCCGAGTGGTCGCAATTGCGACTGCCGGGTAAGGGGTCTCGGGTTCGATTCCCGGGTCGGGCAAAGTATTACGGGGTTTTTAAAAAAAAAATCTCAGTAGTAGCACGGAGTCTGGAACTGTGCCCGGTATATGGCAATAGGCTCACCCCCTATTACATGGGACTCATAACATAAATAGTGAAAAGTGGGTGTTACATTGTACAGTGATATAATGTGCACCTCTGCCTACCCCTTCGAGGATAAAAGGCGTGATGTTATGTTATGTTATGTAGATAATATATTATGTTAAAACTATAACTAACCCACTTTTAGGTTCACCGTACGTACCGGATAAGAAATAAAAAACAGAATGATGTTATAAAATTAAGTAAGTATTGTAATAGAAGCCTGACCCAGAAAGTCGTAATAGCTATTTGATGGAATGGCAGTCAATACTTTTAACGATGCACCTAAATGGAATTAGGACGTTTTATGTCGAGTACATTACGGTTCACAATCCTGCATTTCTCAGGCTTAAGATCAAAAGTAGCATAAGTAACTCTCTGAAAAGTTATATAACGAAAGTATTTTCTTATTTCTTCTATTTGTATAATATTTGTAATGATCGATTGGCGTCCGCCACGGGTCTAAAACAGAATATACAAAGGATCAACTGGAAAAACAAGAATAATTTTAAATCATTTTAAATTGAGCTGGAGCTGTGAATTTTAGAATTTTATGCAGTGATGTGTTGACCTATTGCCGAAAAGACTACTGCGATTATATTTACTTAAAAATATTACGAAAAATAAACATACTGCCGATGCCGACATTTGCATATGGGCGCGGTCGAGCCAATCCGATGATTGTGTGTGTATAATGCCAAAAAATATTTAGCACTTTTTGTGCAATATTCTACAACTCGATTTAATTAGCCAATAGCGCA